ACATTGCGACGCGCCACGTGACCGAACGCTCTCGGTAAGATTCGCGTCAGAATAATCCGCGATGCTTCGCGCAGCAAAATTATAAAATTATACAAGTTCGTTATTACAACGTTGAAATTACGTAATTACGGCGGCACGTTTTCAGACCACACGCGCAGTGCCATGAGATGTACGATCCCATTAAAACTTTAAATTACGTTACGTATGCCGAAAAGGCAAATTTCTACCGCGCCCGCGTTCTTGGCAGAGCGCTACGATATTTCGCGAAATATTTCGCGGCGCGCGTCCGCCGGACGTTTCGAAATTTATCGCTGTCGAATGAGAGAAGCCCCGGACCCGCGGCAGTCACCGAAATTTTACGGGTGACACAATGACGACGTCGAGCGGTTTGTCGTCCCGAAGGTGTCTGCCGCTTGCGCAGCTGCATTCGCCGCGATCGTAAATAATGGCTGTACTTGAAACGCGCGTCGGGGTAGACGACACGACGGGCGACATCCCCTACGCCTACTAAGAGCCCGTGAAAATGCCTACATCTAATTATTACACGCGAGTGACTTCCTCGGCAGCGCGAAGACGCGTCTTGGATCTTATTCCCGAGCGATCTTAAGCGGATTTACGCGTTCTCGCGGTGTGTGTAGCGCAGAAATACCTTATTAAAGTTATTTCTCGCGCGCGCTAAATCGGGTAAGTCGCGTTCTATTTTGTAATTTCCGCTTAATAATCTCCTAATTCGACTCTTTTATTCAGTCCTTAAAACTCCAGCTGAGATGAAAACGCGTAGTTAAGCTGAATGCTTGTAATACGTTGTATGCACAATTATACAATACATTTGTAAGTGGAATAGCGATGCATAATTTATATAGTAAATTTTTGCAAGATGGAAGCGGGAGGAGGGTTTAAAGCTTTAGCTGAGAGATTAACTGACATAAAGATAGTAAATGCGCGGTTAAGCTGGACACTTGTAATTATCGTGCGCGTAATTATACGATACGTTTAAGTAAGTAGTAGAATAACAATGTACAATTTATATATGTAAATTTTTGCAAGGGGGGAGAGGAAGGGGGGCCCGGTTTAACCACGAGGAATAAATTTGGTTCTCGCGGCACTCCCGCGCGGTGCGGCAGTAATAAATCGTCGAATTAAGGATTATACGTTGAGCGTAACAGGTTCTACGCAACGATCTCTATGCGACTCTGCGCTGCCGGCTGCACGGTGAAAGAGGATTTGCTCATCTCTCTCTCCCTCGGCGTCTCGCGTACGATCGGGGCGGATTTGAAGCGCGCGACACTTCCCCGCGCGCTTGTCGCACGCGCGAATACGCCGCGAGCGCAGGTGTACAACGAGCGGATTACAATGAAAGCGCAGTAAAGTCCGGTTTGTAGCCGGGTGGGTATGTATGACGGAACGCGCGGCACTGTCCTTTCGAAACGCGAGCGCGAACTTGGCGGTGAAAATTCAGTCGCGACGGTGCACCACCTTGGACGAGCGGACACCACTAATTGTTAAACGCGACAGACGTGAAATTGCAGACGTACAGAAGTTAGCGCTCTTCGAATTACGTTTGTTGAAATAACAACTGTTCGCCTTTCGCAACATTCCCGTATACTTTCACTCGATACTCATTGTTTTCCGGCGTTCGAGCCGATCGAACGAATTTTCGCCGATTTTGCGACCGACTTAAGTGCCCGCGTCGATTAGAATTTTACGCGACGTTGACGGACCCTTTAAATTCCAGCGGGAGGTCCCTCGAGTCACGGAGCGTCAAAGGCTCGAGACTGGAGATCACTAAAGTGGCGTTTCCACTTCTCGGCCGAGCGCGGCCTACCTGTGGCTCTCGTTGGCACCTCGTTTACCTCCTTTAATTCACCTCCCAGGTCAATTATCGCTCTCGAGTAGATACTTGGCGCGATACCGGCCCCCGTTCGTTCGCACGTTTCTCACTCACCTAGGCATATTGAGTCACTCCATCGGCGTTACGGGTCGTAGTACGAGCGGTCCCTCCTCGCCAGCAAATCGCGGATATATTATTCCTCCTCTTCTCTCCTCGCACTCGCGGCGGTCGAATTGAATTTCTCGCGGATTACCGGCGAAACGCAGGGGCCGCGCTCTCGGCCCGGGGAGAAACGATGCGATCGACGGTGGCGCCAATTTCCAAGGTCGGGTCGCAAGGTCACAGCCCTCTTCCGTACCAAGCCGGCCGGCGCGATCGGAAGTGGCGATCGTGTCGAATTCGCGCGCGTGCCCGTATCGAGCGCGAGTCTCGCTGCGCGTGCTTGCCGGCCACCCCCCCTGTCGTCCTGCGCCTTCTCTCTCTCTCTCTCTCCCCCCCTTTCCCGGGCAAGATCCTTGTCACGCGCGCACGATGCCCCCACGATCCGCACCACGGTCCACCACTCACTGACAAGGGTCCCTTCGTGACACTTGCTACTTCCTTCTTGATTTTTCTCCCTCTCCTGCGCCAGCTGCTCTTCTCCTCTGCCGCCTCCGCTGCTCTCCTGGACGTCCTCGTCGTCCTCGTCGTCGTTGTCACGTCACCGTCACCGCCACCGCCGCCGCCGCCGCCGCTTCGTCGCCTCGTGGTGCGCGTCACGTCACGACGCCAGTCACCGCTCAGAGCACGTATCGGCGTGGACACTGGATTACGTCGCTGATCTCACCGGAGACGAACGCTGACGCTCGCGTTTCCCACGATTGTCCCCGCCGCGATCGCGCTCACTATTCACCCGCGCGGACGATTACGTCCAGACAGTCGCCGGCTGTCCCGGATCACCGATGTCGTCACGTGGCGCTGGAGAAAACTGGTTACTCGGTAACCGATGACAGCCGGAGTGTCACGTGGCGGGGGAGGGATGCACAATGATGCCGCGTTGACAATCGCAGTTGATCAGCAAACTCGTGTCGGTGCCGTTTTGCCGGGGACGACTCCGGTTTCTCCGGCTCTCTCTCTCTCACCGTTCGCCGGCGGTCCCGCTCGTGACGATCCTTTCTTCTCCCTCGAAGGAGGCGTGTCGATTGTCAGAGGAGAACAACGACCTCCAGCTCCGCGAGTGATACCTGCCCGCGGCCTCGGCAATTATCGTCGATCGCGCACTTGTCGCCGGTAATTTTGTTTCGCACCGAAGATGATCCGAGAGTCTTCTTGCTGCCCGAGTCGCTGACATAGACGTTATCCGTTCTCCGCGCTTATCTCCCGCGCGTTCCTCCGCGCCTCCGGCGCGGAGCTCTCTCGCAATCCGCTTCGGGATCGTTTCAAACTGGCGTCAGTGTTTCTTTCCTTCTCTTTTTTTTTATCGTTAAATGTCTTTTCCTTCGTATCCTCTCTGCCTCCTTCGATCTCGCCGGCTGTTCTCACCTCGTACTCTCGGAGCAGTCGCGCGATCATGAAATTCCGACGCGACGAGCGCGAGAGGAACCGCGCGCGAGGCACCGGTGCGAACGATCGCACAACGATGGCACGATAGGGGCCGGGACCAGGTGGCGGCTGATTCAAATTCGCTCCCCACGTGGCGGCGACGGCGTCGTCCCCGAGACTGCCGCCGGTACGACGCCCGGCGCCGGTCAGTGCGTCGCCATCTCACGGCCCGACAGCCAACCGGCTTTACCGCCGTGAATCCTCTTGAAAAACGTCGCCGTCAGCATCGAAACTTTGATGCAACCAGTCCTTGAAATAAGTATATAGTCGTCCCCTATTCCTGCGTGCACGAGCGTGGGCGAAATGCAATTCAAGATTGTCTTACTCCATATTCGCGACCGAGTGCTTATTTCGCGCGAGGGTCGAAATAACCGCTCGGTGGTGCCCCGAATGCAAATTTCAGGGACAGGAATAGCTGTATCTTGAAATAAGCTGAGAATGAGCTGACGGTATAATAATCGAGATTCGAGATGCAAATTGCTGCTGAAACTGGGATGTTGCTCGATGATTTCGAAAGGTCAATGTTTGCTCGGTGGTAATAACGAGGGAAAAATCACGAGAGACTAGATTGCGGATAAAGAAATTCTCGCGAGGCAAACTCGACGAGTGCGCAAGCAAAGAAGTGGATTACGTTATCTCGCTTTTCAATTTTATCCGGAGTGCTTTACCGCGGGGTTAGCTAAGAGCGGCAATATTTAGGGCCAGTTTCACAAACGTCGGTTAACTGTTAACTAGAGTTCAGTCGATGTCCTACCTTTTTCCATCTTATTATTTAAGCAGAGACATAGAATCGATTAATCTTCGGTTAGCAGTTAACCGACGTTTGTGAAACTGGCCCTTAGGTTAACTGTTAACCAGAGTTCAGACGAGTCCCCATTTATTCCATCTTATTATTTAAAAAGAGATAGAATCAATGACCGACGTTTGTGAAACTGACCCTTAGGGCGAGTTTCACAAACGTCGGTCAACTTCTAACCGAAGGTTAATTGATCCTCTGTTTCTTCTTAGATAACTAGATAGAAGAAGATAGGGAGTTGACTAAACTCTCGTTAACAGTTAACCAACGTTTGTGAAACTGGTCCTTAGTGGTTATAAAATGACGAGCCAGAGATGACGCTCTCCGAACGTCCTTTATTTTAACGAATGCGCATTGTAGCGCGTTACAGCGGCCTGGCGAAATTCCGCAATAAATATGTAAGATAAAATATACGGGACGTCCGAACGCATTAATCATACCTACATGAACTTTGACGATGAGGAAGGTGCATATGTCAACGTTGGCGCGCTGATACTGCCCGCATCAATTTGGAGGATGTACCATCTGATCCGCCGCAATGTCAAGGATTTATCATCCAAATTACATTCGCGTGGTCCATAATACGATCTAAGATCCGGGTCACGTTCATAAAGCAGATCTTAATGCGAATCACTTCTGAAGATGTGGCCTGTTCTCTGAATCGATATCGCGTGACACATGTCAATTAAAGTTGAGATTATTTCACAGAGTAGAATCTAATGGGACATTATTGCACAGTAAAAAAATTACAATTATTATAGTGGGTAATATTGGGACCATCTATTAAAGATGTATATTTACATACGTCTGTAAATTTGCAGCTTGTAGGTAAAATTATTACCTTATATAGTCAGTAAACTGCTTGCTTGCTTGCTCCTTGGGAATTAAAGTCTCGAATCTCAATAGTGTTTATTTCTTATATTAGTTTTTTACTAAGTGTACAATATAATATTAAAATAACTTGTACGTCGAAGTTTAATATTGAATCACTGTATGTTTAAGGAAAATGACACATCAAAGATAAACGTATTAAGTGGTCGTAAAATATTTATATTTTATATAAAATTTATAATTTTTATAGTTCAGATATTGGCCAGATGTTAATTGGTTGTTGCATTTAATCGATTCGCTCGTAGAGCAGTGGATTAATCATTGTCGGGGAATTCATTGACGGACGTCGATAGATGCGCGTCTAAAGCGAAAGGAAATATACTATATGTCGATAGAAGCATTTACGTCGATAACCAACGAGCGTATATCAACGTTTATAGCCCAACATTTTTACGTAATAATCGCAAGTCCATAATGGGACGTGTCTTCGTTCAACTGACCCTCCTCCATTCATCCCGTCCATTCATTCTTACATCCGTACAATGAACCGTGACATTTGCGTCGCTCCAACGGTTCACGACCTCGTTCGCCCATGCAGTCTCTGATGTAACGAGATTGGCTATTTTAGGATACTCCAGAGCATTTCATACTCGCAATTGTATATTGTTACCCCGTTCCTTACGTATTATTTCTTATAATCTAAAAACGCTTCAGCATCTGAAACGGTCGATGCTGTAACGGACGATCAAGAGGGAACAAGAAACTCGAAAAAAATCGAAAAGCGATAAAAAGTTAATATTTAATTATTATAATATCGACATTACGAAATTGGTTTTAAAACAGACCGAAATAGCGGATATAATATCGTAATATCCTGCATGTATCTTAGTACGCGCGACAAATGTGTTTCTTCTTTTCTTTGTAAGAAAAGACTCTTGGCGTCTAACAAGCATCGCGAGCTTCTGTCTATTAGCTCGTGCCGCGAAGGAAGACGCACAGCTGCTTGAGATTCGATCGCCGGAGATTATTATGATAATCATCACGGTAAAAAGGACGAAAGTGACTAAGTGAATGTCAGGCAGCAGTGCGCGAACGCATTAACGCACGTTGATATTCGATTTTTATTATCTCTGCTCCATCTGCAAGCCCAGTAGAAAGTGCTTCCCGCATCTACGCCGTTCTTGCGCCGACATGCCTTGCTGGTTAACGCGATAACAAAATGATCAGGCGTAAATCACCGTTTAATCGGGCCGACCGAAACCAGTTTTCCTTCAAAAGGTTCTGACGTTGATACTTTAAAAGGAGACCGACGCAACAACGCCGATACTCGTCCTGTTATCTTACATCCTGTCGTCATATAATTAAGATTGATTAATGCGATAGAAGCGCTGACGAAAGTTATCTCTCTAAACCTAAACGTGTATTCAAAATCATGCGGATAACTGCGTATGACTGTGTAAAAAAAATTACAATTTTTATACACGGTCAGATTATTCATATGATTATTCATATGACTTTTTTTCGTAAATCAAATCCGAACAATATATTTTTTTTATAGTATCGATGCTTGTTACGCAAACAAAACACATGAAGCGGTTAACGCGGAGGCGTTCACTTTGGAATCAACAATAACGCAATCGAAGCACAATAAAAGCCAGATGTTGATAGCCATTCGAGGATTACGGATTCTATATAGCGGCTCGAAGTATCTCCGATAGCATCCCCAGCAATTGCCCGTTCGCGCAATTCCCGAAAAACCAATCGCGCGCCCATATAGCGAGCGCGGGGCATTAATTTGGCGCCTGATCCACGCGGCACGGCGCGTTATTTTACGCCGGCAGGCCCGTTATTCGCGCGACGGTACTCACGGACACGTTTTAGCACCGGACACGCAAAGTAATTTCGCGATCGGCGGACGCGCTGCGGCGTCGTCGCGTAAATTTCGCCGGTAACACACGAGACCGCGAGCGAGCGAAGCGGCGACAGGACGCAGGACCC